CTTGTTAGCAAATGGAGCTAGAACTGGATATCCAGCTGCAGAAAAGTCAAATCGGACCCTTATCTCTCACCATTTGCCAAAATCAACTCAAAATGGATCAAAGATCTAAATGAAAAGCCTCATACTACATAAAACTGCTTGGGGAAAAACACAGGAAAAATTCTTAAAATCATGGGAGTAGACAAAGACCCTTAAAGTACAGGCAATAATTCCAAAAAATAGACAAAGGAGATTACATCAAATTTAAAAGATTCTGCATGGCAAGGAAACAATACTTCAAAGGAAGAGGTGATCCTAAGAATGGGAGAAAACATTTTAAAGCGGTGTTTCAGATAAAAGATTGACAACCAGAATACGCAGAGAACTCCAGCAACTCATCCACCCAAAAAAAAAAAAAAAAAACAAAAACAAAAATTATATATGTATATACACAATTTTAAAAATGGACTCAAGAACTGAACAGATACTCTCTAAGGAAGACATATGAATGGCCAAAATGCATACAAAAATGTGTAACATCTCTTATCATAAAGGAAATGCAAGTCACCACGATGAGACTAGCCCCATGCAAAGGCGGTAGACTGAACAGGTAGCTCAATATGCATTGTTTTTCAAACACACAGTATTTATACAGCTGATCTAATTAGTAAACAACAAGTTTATTTTAAAAGTTTACAAGGTCAAAGACATTTTTACCATTTTATTATGCAAGTTGTTTCTTGGTTTTAAAATTTATTTCTTCCATGAGAAAGAAGCAGAAACAAAGAGACAGGTACCCACCACAGGGTTTTCTTCATGCCATGATCCACCTCCAGCCTTGGTTGGCCTGGATCATGGGCACACACATTTGCCCAGTATCCCAGGATATGAACCCAGGACTCCGCCATGTGGGGTCAGCTGCATTTCCACTGCACCACCTTCTGACTGCCCAACCAGTTTTAAAGTCTTGAAGCTCATTTAAAAAAAAAAAAAATGACTTGAAAACATTTGGATTCGTTGGGACCAGCAGTTAGCGTAATGGCTATGTCACTGGACTCCCATGTAGTCGACTGCGGTTCAAGTCCTGGACTCAGTGGCTTAAAACTCACGCCGGGCGCGTGTGCATGTGTGCCCAAGATCCCAAGAGGAGAATGGAGAAGGGACTGTGGCGTGGCCATCCCCCCTGGGGGGAGATTTCTCGCTTTCTGTCTGTCTGGAAAGTGCACACATGCCTTATAGCAAAAAAAAAAAAAAAAAGAACTAGTGAGTTGACTCCATCAAAGACATTCCAAAGATTGTACACCATAACCAAGTAGACTATCCCTGAGGTGCAAGGATGGTTTAACATACACAAAAATCAATCAATCACATTATCAGAAGGGAAGATAAAAGTCCTATCAATTGATGAAAAGCATTCGAGATTAAGACTCAACAAAATAAGTACAGAAGGTCTATTTCTAAACACAATAAAAGCCATACATACCAGAAATCGAAAACTTTCCCACTAAAAACTGGAACAAGACAAGGTCTACTTTCTCCACATCCTTTTCAACATAGTACTGGAAGTCTTGGCCAAAACAATCAGACAAGAGGATAAAAATAAAAGGCAAATAGGAAAGGAAGAAGCGAAAGTGTCCCTATTCATGGGCAACATTATACACACAGAAAATCCAAAAGAATCCATTCAAAGATTTCTAGAAGTGATAAATGAATTCAATGAAGTGGCAGGTGTTTAGATGGTCAGAAGAGTCATGGGTTTTTTTGTCCAAAAATGTGTCATGACTTTCCTGATGACCCAATAAAATATTCAAAAATCTTACTGTTTTTATATACCAACAATGAGTAGCTTGAGGCAGAACTGAAGAAAGCAATCTCATTTATGATAGCCACAATAAACAAATAAATAAATCAAACACCTAGAAATAAACCTAGCCAGAGATAAGACTTTTATAAGAAAAACGATGAAAAACTGAAAAAATTAAATATGATACAAAAATAAAAAAAGACATCCCTTGTTCTTGGAAGAATATGTTTACCAATCCTATGCGAATTTATAAATTCAGTGCATTTTCAATCAAATTACCAGTGACGTTCTTCACAGAAATAAAGAATCACAAAATTTGTCTGGAATCATAAAAGACCTCCAATCACAAAGGTATTACTATGCACAAAGAATAAAGAGTTAAGGGAGATCTTCGAGAATGGTGGTACCGGGGATGCAGGAGAAGGAAGAGGCACAGTTCTGGCAGCACCAGACACTGGTTCTGGCAATAGAGGTGCATAACCTTCAAATTTTCTTTTTTTAAATTAATATATATACTTTGGCCAGAAGGCTCACATGCTTGCCAGAGAGAGAGAGAGAGAAAGAACCAGCATCCCCTGGTAGGGCTTGTTGTGCTGCAATCTCTCCTTTTCTCCATCCTGTGGGGAATGCAGGCAGGCAGGCACAGGCACCCCTCCTGTTTTCCAAGCTATTGCCAGATTCAAACCTGGCAGCTGGCTCTCTGCAGTCTGGCTTCCCCAACCACCAAGCCATGAGCTGGCCCACATTTTCTAAAATCTGACCTCTCACATTCTTGAAAGGTGTAGAAAGGCATCTGTACAGTTCCAAGTTAAGTCAATAATAGCGAAACGCCTGCTGGTTTGGAATGACAGAGGCTGTCAGTTACTTGAAAAGAACAGCCCAGTCAAAGGGTGACAGGTGCAGCTAAGTGCAAACGTACTCCAGGCAAACCAACACATATTTCACCATGGACTGCATTGCAGCATGACAGTATGACTGTGGTAAGTGATCAATAAATCCGAGTATACTGTTTAAACACAATTCACTTTTATATATCATTTAAATATCGTTTTTCCTAAACCAGAATATTCTATTTATGCCAAACTAAGTCAACTATAGCCAGTAATATACTGACCTTTACTACTCCTCCTGGAAATAATCTATCAAAAAGAAAAAAAGTAAAGCTTTTGTTATTTTTAAATAGCATTATAAACTATGTTAATGCATTAATGCTAACCTTCTCTAATAGGTAGGAACTGCCTTTAAATACAGGAGATAAATTTATAGGATGCCAATCTGAACTTCAATCACTTCATGAAAGTGAGCATATCACCTTCAACCAGGTGAAAAATATATCTGGATATATGAAAATAAGTCACCCATTTTTCTATAATGTTAATTATATATATTACTACTTTGCACATTGTAATAGGAGTCTTAAGAAAATATAGAAAACCAGGTTTTGTGAGTAATTTGATGACTTCCGCCAATTCCAAAGGCCTCAGTGAAACGTCACCCCTTCTTACCAACGCAGTGTCGAAGAAGTCTTCTGTGACACTAATCAGACCCGTGTCTGAGGCCAGGTCTTCTGTGCTCAGCAATCTTGCCGTTCTTTCAAACCAGGAAACTAAGTACACAGAAAATCAAACACTGACGGACCCACCTAGGACTGAGCAACTACTGCCTACTCGATAAAATCCAACAAGGTAACTTTACTAGACAAAAATAAGTTTTTAAAACCCTTCTCCAGCCAGCAGGTGGCACGGCGGTTAAGGCAGCTGGATTCTACATGGCTGATTGCACAATGTGAGTTCCAACCTTTTGGCTTGAAAATCACACTGGGTGTGGATACATCCAAAATCCCAAGGAGAATGGGGAGAAGGGACTGTGGTGTGGCCATCTCCTGGAAGGTAGGGGTATGATTTCTTACCCTCCCGGCCCCATGTCTCTGTCTCCAGTGAGTGCATGTGCCGTATAGCAAGCTGGAAAAACAGACAACTTTTTTCATTGCATGACATTTCAGTTAAGCACTGAGGGCTTCTGTCTAGAACACTTCAGGATGGAGCGATGCTGCCGTAGAGTCATAAGAGAGTCCTCATGCAGCAGCAAGGATTGGAGACTTAGCCAGAACTGAGGTCAGAAAGCCACACAAAGGAAAAGTAAGGAAAGTGTTATAATAGGGAAAACTAGTGATCTGAGAAGCTACAGATGACAAAGTATCAGAGGAGATGCAGAATTCAGAAAGCGCTCCCAGGAGATTTCTGGTTCTAGTAAATATCCCTCGATCTGCCTACCTGTCTTTTACCAAAAGCTCCCAGCAAATTAGAATTTTTTTCCTATAGGAGTATTTATAAAACTATATATATGAAGTTGCTAGGATCAGTGTGTTTTTTTTTCTTTTTTTTGGAGAGGCTTTTTTCGCTATAGGGCGCGTGCGTTCGCCAGACAGACAGAGAGAGACATAGAGACAGAAAGCAAGAAATCACCCCCCAGAGGGGACGGTCACACCGCAATCCCTTCTCCTCCATTCTCCTCTCGGGATCTTGGGCATGCACGCACACGCGCCCAGCGTGAGTTTTAAGCCACCGGGTCCAGGACACGAGCCTCGGTCAACTACGTGGGAGTCCAACGACATAGCCATTACGCTAACTGCTGGTTCCCAGGATCAGTATGATTTAAAGTAAACTTTAATAAATTTTCATTTTGTGTATTTTAAACCTTGTTATTTTAATAATTTTTAATTTGACCAGAAAGAAGGGAAGTGAAAAAGCAAGCCCCCAGGTCTGAGACTCAAACCAATCGGTATACCACCTGTTGGTTCCAAACTTTTAAAGCTAAAGGGTGCATGCCCTAGCGAGAAAAAGAGAAGGGGGGGGAGCACCCTCCAACAAGGTGTAATCATGCTCCAATCCTATCCCCATTTCACCATTCTGTTAGGCTTTAGGGAACACATGCACACCCACCCACTGTGTTTTCCAAGCTTCTGTGGCCAGGATTCAAACCACGTGGTCAGCCATATGGGCTCCAATTGCCTTAACCACTAGGTGATGTGGTTGGCCTTTAAAAAACTTCAATAATCCCTCCTAGGATATATTTACTTAAAAATCAAGGCTTTCTTTGGACCATATTTTACTGAGACTGATCACTCTTAAAAAAAAAAAATCCTACACTCAATTAAAAATCACCAAATGAACCTTAAGTCATGTAAGTTTGTGAAGAACACCTGTTATGGGACCTTCAGAACTTTGTGCACAGGAGCCAACAAGCCAACGCACCCCAGCTGAAGAACATGAAGGACCCAGGCCATTCTCAGCCTCAGCTGTACGTTAGGAAAACCTGGGGGCGTTGACCACCCCAGCACCTGAGTCCATCCCAGGCTAGGTAAGTCAGAATCAGTGTGATGGGTTATAGGTGAGGTTTGTCAAAGTTCTCAGCCGATCCCCATCTATAGCCCAGTTTGAGAGCCACAGCTATGATCCAAGGTACTTATCAAATCAGACCAATGTTTGCATTAGATTGAACCATCCACTTTCTGAAATAAGATTTTCTCAGTGAACTCAAAGGAAGAAATGACATTCCTTATGCCACATGTCAGTTTGGAAGCATGTGTGTGATTTTTTTTAAAGAGATTTTTGCTATAGGGCACGTGGTCTCATCAGAGAGACACAAGGCAAGGAGTCACTCCCCCCCCCCCGCGCCCAGGGGAGATGGTCATGCCAAAATCCTTTCTCCTCCATTCTCTTCTTGGGATCTTGGGCATGCATGCACAGGTACCAGGCGTGAATTTTAAGCCATCAGGTCTGGGACATGAACCACAGCTGACTACGTGGTAGTCCAACATAACCATTACAATATCTGCTGGTCCCCGTGTGTTGAATTTAATTTTGGTTGGATAAAAATCAATAGGAGTGGATACTATTTTTTTTACTTTTAATCTCAAAGGAACAGAAACACCACACAACTTGACATTTGAAACCACACTAATTTTTTTGTTAAGTTAGCCAAGCCACATAAAATTAAAATATGACTTATCTTTGGGATCAGTCCCTGCTGAATTAGCAAAGGCTCCTCTTCTTTAAGGCCATCAATGAAGAATCGCTGGATACATTTCAGTAAAAGTGAAACATTTTGAAATTCATTTTTATCCAGTGCCTAGGTATCAGACCGCACTAAATGAGAACCTTGTAAATAATTACATGTTGGCATTTTGATTACAAACCACCTTACTTGCCTTATTTATTGATCTGTTAAGATGGTAAAATAGAAGATAGCTGTACTTTTGAGGAACGTGGCTCTCTTTCTTTTGAAAATACTCTTTCAGTTTCTGAAATCCTTTACCAAGGACTGCATCAGTAATGAGTGATTGAAGCTGGAAAGATGACAGTGTTTAAATTACTTTGTTCCCCAAGAACATTTATTTTATAGTAGTTATAATATCACCCAAAATTATTTAGTGTGATACAATATCGGGTAAATATACAACAGAGACTGTCTCGAGCAGTACATATAATAGTCACAACTTCTGCTGCTTAGGACAGGAGTTCTCATAATGAGGCATCTGGTCAACCAGCATAATTGATCTCACTTGTAGACTTGTTACAACATGGAGACTCGGGGGTGGAGCCCTCCAGGTGTTTGAGACATACTTAAGTTTGAGAACTGTTGACTTAAAAAAAAAAAGTAGAAAGTGTATTTCCCCCTCCCCCCCTTTTTTTTTTTGGTAACTTGTTCTTCGGCTCTCTGCCAGTCTACAAACCCCCAAGAGGGCAGCATTGTTTTTGTTCTATTCAGAGCTGTTTTTCTATTTCCAGAACAGTGGTGGGCAAAAGACAGTTTAGGGTATTAGGATAGTTAAAAGTATTGGGTTGTCAAGAAAGTAATGATGTATTTTTGCATAGAAAAACATGTTATAACTGTCCCAACAACCTAATAAAGTAGCTATTGTGACAAATTCAACAAAGAAGATTGGGGAAGGAGAAAAAAAAAAAAAAGTCCAAGAGTTCTAGAATTCTCTGCTTCTGGCTTGAGCAATTAAAGGAGTAATTGTGCTAATGGCTCAGGGAACACAGAACTAGACAGAACACAACCACACAAAAAATTAAAAATAACCTTGGTCTTTACCCAAAAAGCATCCTGGGCCTTCCCAATCCCATCATCTTCCTTAACAGACTGCAAAGGACCTTCCTTTTTCTGTGTGCAATAAAAAATACATGTATAGTATCTTTAAATGTTTTTAATTTTTAAAAAATTCATCTCAAGTTTAATACAAGTTTGTATTATTTTCGTGAATGAAAGCATTTTGTTTGCTCACGCCACCAATTCTATTTCTGAGATGGTACTTAAACAAGTAAAAACACCTTTTCCCAACCTTCTTTAACATGGTCTATAACAAAAAGCAAAGCAAACATTATTTGAATAAACGATCATACAAAATAAATTTGAACTCCAGTGACAAATAGAAAAGCTTTGACTTCATAAACATTTTCCAAATGAGAACTTGTAAAATAAAAAGTATCTCATGCCCAGTTATGAGTTTAAACTTTAGATTGGTGACCCATATATCTTAAACATTAACTCAGACTTCTGTACTGAAATTTCAAGGCTCACATGTCAACCACCACAGAAGAAATATCCCAAACATTTAGTACTGGACAGTTACACAATTTCTTTGCAAAGCAATCCCTGGTCTGCCATCTTATTTTTCCCGGCGCAATAACAGCAATTCACCTCATCTCTTCTCAATTAATTGAAAGGCACAATACCCGTAATATTTTTATATTCTGAATTTTTAATACAGCTTGGGCTAATCATACTACTTTTATTTGAACTTGGCCAAAATCTTTAAACAGTGTATTTTACATTATCGCCATTATATATAAATACGAAAAAGATGCATTCGAAGACTCCAATCCAGACTTTTTCCTACCAACAGAGTATTCAATGAATACTAATTAAATAAATGCCAAAAACTAGGAGCTCTAGTGGTGCCAACACCTCCCGCCCTCCATCTTAGAAGGTTATCATTTGTCGGGGCTGGCAGGTGGTGTGGTGGTTAAGGGCGCTGGATTCCCACAGGACCACTGAGGTTCGAGTCCCAGACCTGGCGCTTGCTGTCTCTCTCTCTCTCTCTCTGATCAAACTAAATAAAGTTAAATACTTTAAAAAAAAAAAAAAAGGTTGTCATTTGTCACACAGCTAACAGAAGTCCCAACACTTGAGGCCAGTGAATTAAAGTCATTGAACTTTCTACTAAGCAAGGAGGTGATGGGGCAAGAGAAACACCTTGAAAAACTTTGTCACTGCTTTCCAAACATGAATGTTCTTATTCCCCCTTTCCTCAAGTGCTTTATTCCTGAGGATCCAGAGATCTCTGCCTGGTTTTCTCACGGAAAGCTGCCAATAAGCTCTGAGCAAACCTGAGCAGATTAAAGCATTCAAAGGCTCCCCAAAACTCTCGTCCCCAACGACCAGGGACTGTAGCCTGCGTGTCCTGGGCGAATTCGCAGACTCTGCACCCCCGGGGCGACCGCTTTAGTCGGGCCGAACCTGAGCCGAGGGAGTAAGGGACTGTGCTACTCTCAGCAGCTTCGGACCACAGAGAGTAGGCCCAGTCTCCAAGCACGCTGGGCTATCGGAAGGTCACTCACCGCCGGCATCCCGAGGTCACCGACTGGACACCTCGCTCCTGCACCCTGGAGCGCGCCGCTGCGTGCAGGGCCTCCGTCCTCTGCGGTTGCGCTCCCGAGGCCCCAGCGCTGGAGCCCGAGCCCGAGGCCCAGATTCCCCGGTTTCATCCGCTGCGTCCTCTCCCGGAACGCTTAATTGACTAGCTAGCCCCGTGTTTGAGAATCAAGAAACGCGTGCAAGTAATCAGGACACAGGTGAAGCCACATGGACGCACGTACACACGCCTTAAAAGAAAGGGAATGTCCAAAGCCTATGTCCAAAGCTGTTTATACATGGCTTATAATAGCGTATATGCGAAATTTCAAACGCGTGGGTGTCCCCTTTACGAAAACAATCGGTAAAGACTTTTAACAGATGTCTCGGGTCCACTGATGTGCAAATTCCTGAGATCCCAAAAGAAGGTGTTCTCTGGTTATTTGTTAAGTACCTTAGTAGAGGAGAGGGATTTTTAAAAAACTTATTTAACTTTATTTGTTATTATTTATTTTTGTTTTAATATGATAGAGACAAAGAGAGAAAGGGAAAGTGAGAAAACAAGCCACCAGGACCCAGACTTGAACCTGCTGTACAGCCATGTGGGAGTTCAGCATATCAACCACCACATCACTGGCCAGCCCAGGAAGAGTTTGTTTTTAAAGTGAATGGTTTCCTTATTTTCTGCTCACTTCCTAGACCAGTGTGTGTACTGATGGCTAGGTTGCACCTGCAAGCCGCCTTTTCTGTGAACACAGCGACGAAATTAAGTTGGACAGGAGTTTTCTATCAAACAAAACGACCTCTTAAATGCAAACAACCTGTTTTATGACGAGATGCTATGAATATTTCATATTGTGATGTTTTACAGAAGATATGTATCTACATCAAACCAAAATGTAATATAGCCTAAAGCCCCGGTACTAGCAGACACCTCCAGTCTATTCAAAACACTGTGTCAAAGGGTGTCACATGCATTTCTTGGCAGATATGAGATAAATATACTTACGTCATTTTACTATTTTAATGTAAACTTAGCAAAATTCATAGATGTGGTTTTTGACTTTTGAATGAACAAACTCACAATAATAATATAATATATATAATATAATATATATAATATAATATATAATAATAAATTAGTAATAAGGGCAGGGATGTTTGTGAATATAAAGTATTCTGAATCAATACAAAGATTAGGGCAGGAAAGGTCATTTTAAAAGTGGTCAAAATACAGTATAAATGCATTTTATTGTAGAAACTATGTAAAGTTTTCTTAATATTAGATAGGAAACTTTATAATTATTTCCAGACCTTTGGGGAAGAGTGTCTTCTTTTAAACTCTAAAGTGACAATGCATTTAAATCATCAGGAGAAATTCAAAGTAACACAAATAGACAACAATATCATTTTTTATTATGTTTTCACTTTGATTGGTCTCTTTTACTAATAGATTTTACCGGGACTTAATTTTAGAGCAACCTGGAATATACTACTCTTTTTTTAAAGACTTTTTAAAAATTATTTTAACTTTATTTATTATTATCATTATTATTTTCCAGTTTGATCAGAGAGACAGAGAGAGAGAGAGAGAGGAAGTAAGAAAGCAAGCCACCAGGTCTGAGACTTGATCCATGGCCGACCATGTGGGAGTCCAGCGCCTTTAACCACCATGCCACTTGCTGGCCCCTATATTCTATTCTTTCTCAAACATATTATTATGGTCAAAGCTCTAGGGCATGTCTTCAGACACCAAAATCCATTTAGAAATGAACTAATTTGCCTTCAACACTCAAAAGTCCTATGTATTTCTATTTTGAAGGGTCAGAACTTTAGGAATATTTCAAAAGCATAGAAACAAATCATCTAACCATGTTTCAACAGTCCCAGAAATTAATTGCTATGTACTCTCACAGGTCATTTTCCATGACAACGTGGACGTTATTTCTAGACTATTTTAAAAACAAATGATCTTACATGTCACATTTAATAAAATAGTGATTCGTTTTTAAATGAAGGGTCATTCTAACTTACTTGTGGAAGACGAAACAACATAAAAAAGCACCTGGTTCACAACCGTGCTGGCATTTCGGCCGTCAGTTAGTAAGATGAAAATCTGCGGGTGGAACTACTGGGTGAAGGTAGACAGGTGTCTTTGTTCCCACCTAGATCTTACTGGCCACCATTGGGAGGGCGACTTCAATCCGAAACCCTGACCAATGGGACCTTTCAGGAGAGAACAGCGTTAGGAGAGAGGAGGCTAGAGGTAAACAAATCACTTTTTTCCCTGTTTGGGAGGAAGATCGCAGCCTGAAGCTGGGCGAAGAAGCAAACGGGGAAACTGCCCAAAGCTGGCATCTCCCGCCCTCTGGCTCCAACAGCGCCCGCGGGTCCCCAGCGTTGGCCGGCTGCGCTGCAGGTGACCGCGCGGCTGCCCCGACTCATTCTAAGCCGCCGAGATTGCGCCTTGTGCCGGGGAATCCCGAGGTCGTTTAGCACCGGCTGTGGGTTTAAACGCACCCATGTGCATGCGTGCCCAAATCCCAGGACTGGAGGAAGAGGGAATTGCGGCGTGGCCATCCCCACGGGGGTGGGGGATGATTTCCAACTTTCCGTCTCTCTGCCTTTCTCTGTCTCTCTCCAGGAGGGCAGGCAACCTATGGCAAAAACAACAGCAACAAAACTCCGCAACTTTTTCCCGTCCTTTGCCAACCCAAGGAACAAGTGGCGCCAGAATCGGTGCCTTCCAGGCGAGTCCCGCGCAGCGTCGTTCGTGCGCAGAGCTCAAGCTTCGGGGCACCAAGTAGGGCGCGCCTGACTTTAGATTTGTGGAATGTGGGTTCAAAATAATCGCCACCAACTGCGAACCGCCTTGAGGGGTCGGCTCGTCTTCTGCGATTGGTGCCGGGAACGGAAAGGCGCCGGCTGCAAACCGAGCGCGCAGAGAATCAATTCCAGAAGCCGGTCTTCCCTCGCCACCCACGCGCATCCTTGGAGTGGCTAAAGAGGTACAGGATCACTTCAATCGATTTTTTTTAATTGGGTGCCACCAAGTGCCCAAGTTGCCCGAGCGAAGCAGGTGCACAGGTGAAGAAGGCCTCGTCCCGGTCCTGAGGACCCCACATCGCGCGTGGCCCCCCACTCGCCCCCGCCGGCGTTTTCTGGCCTTTCTAAAGCTCCCCAAGACTGAAGTGGCCATGATTTCGTTGTGTCATTTCCGCGACAATGTCAATAAAGCTTTTTTAAAAAGAGCTGTGCTCGGGTGGTGGCAGCTGAAAACACACTGAACCCGATCATTCATTTAACAGATGGGGAAGCCGAGGCTCCGAGGGAGCCCAAGGTGCGAGAGCTACCGGTTCTGCGGATTCTGCGGGACTTCCGCGCCACGGCCGCAGCGCCCAGTTCGCCTCCCCACCCACCTTCCCCAGGCTCGTTTCTCTCACCTCCTCCAGGTTCGCTTTCTAGGACTCTCTTCCCGCACGGCCCGGTTTCTCTGCAGCTCCCGAGAGCGCAGGTGCGCCTGGATCCGAGAGCTACTGGAACACTTGGGGCCCCTCGAGTGTCCCAGACCGTGAGCATAGTCTCCGGGGCTCTCAACAGCTACAGCAAGGGTCTGGAGTAGAGACCCACACCGGCTGGGCCCTGAACCCGAACCCGGGCGCGCGGCAGGTGGCAGGGAGTCTCTTGTAGGGTGCCCACAATCTCCTGGAATTGGGTGCTGGCTCCCCGGGATCTTTGCTGGAAAAATCCCTGCTTCAAAATCCTCCAACTAAGCCCTCTCCAACCTGTAGGCGGGTGTGGTTGAAAAAGAGAGGCCGGCAGGTGGCGTGGTAGTAAAGGGCGCTGGACTCCCACATGTCTGACCATGGTTTGAGTTCTGGACCTGGCGACTCTCCCTTTTTCTCTCCCTCTCTGACCAAATTATAAATAAACAAACAAACAAATAAATAAATAAATAAATAAATAAATAAATAAATAAATAGTTAAATAAAATAATTTTTTTTAAAAAGAAATTATTTTCAACTTAAAGAACACACTCCAAGTTGCTGTCCACTTAGTGTATTGGCGACAGTTTCCCTCCCCCCAAGGGTTCCTGATGTGGTTGGTGTGCCGGGGAGGGGGAGGCCAGTCCCTGAAACTTGGGCGCTAGCAAGAAAGGAAAGGCGGGGCCGAGGGAGGAGCATCTCTATAAACGGCAGGCAGGGGCCCGGAGCGCGCGCCACAGTCTCACCGAGACCTTTCAGCACCGCGGGCAAGGACAGGGGCTCCGCCAGGGACCAGAACCCGGGATCCCAGCACAACTTGTGACTTTGCAAACAAAACTGTCATTGTCATTCCTATTCTCTCTCTTTCTCTTGCACACGCACACGCACTACTTTCTTTTCAACGAGGAAAAAAGTCACCTTGCACGCCTCTGGTATTTCCCTCTATCTTTCAGGTCCCCGGAGGAGGGCGTGAGCGCGGTAGGCTCATGCCCGCCGACGCCTTGCAGGATGCCGGCCGCGCGTGCTCCTACGGGATGACGCTCAACTGGGACATCAACGACCCGCAGATGCCTCCGGTGAGTGTAACGGGGCGTGCGCAGGCACGCGTGGTGCTGAGCATCCGAAGAGGGAATGGCATTCGAGTCTTTGCAAAGATTCTGTGGGTAGCCTCGACACACACACATTTCTGAGGGCCCCCAAACGTGGGGAGGAATTCTCTGGACTCTGCCTTTTGCAGAGTTTATGGGTTTAGAGATGTGTGTCTCCCTTCCCCGGTCTCCCCACCCCAAGATTTCCTTGTGCGTGTCTGAAAACACAAGGAAAGCAGTGGGAAGTGTCCATCAAGCTCCACGTTCTCAGTCTTCCCATGAGAGCAGATTCCTGTCTTCTTATCCAGTTACTTGAAAGCCACGAGAAAGTTCAGGACAAATCTCAGCAAATGGAAACAGCACCGCTTCCCCTGCAGCAAAACTGTGATGCAAGACAATAAACAGAAGTGACCCGAATTTAAACCAAATCGCCCGATTAGAACAATTTACTCAAACGCCCTGCCTGTCCCGGTGAAGGCGGCCCTATGGTTGTGCTCGTTAGACTGTCAGCACCCTGAGCTTACTTCTCTATTTATGAGGAGATCAACACACTTTGGAGTGAGTTTGTTTGAACAGAGCAAAGTGGTTTGGAGCCAAGTTCTGGGAATGAACTGCTCCATTATGCTTGTTAAACGGGTTTGGGTCAAAACCGAGGACCTGAGACTCGAAAGTCCTCGTTGGAGGTGGGGGAGAACGAGACTTGCTTCTCAAGCATTTGCAGAGGTGGCCGGTCAGCACAGGGGTAGGGGACTTGGCATTTATGCATCTGTAGAGCGCCAGGGAGATGTTCTACTGAGTGATCACTCACTGGCAAGGTGTGTAGCCTCTCAAAGTCATCAGTACTCTTTCGCCTGTGCACGTATGCGGCAGTTGGATTTGTTGTTGAAAGTCTGTCTATTTCGGAGTTGCACGGTCTCATTTCTGAGACAGTGGACCACAGTGTGTTTCATTCTCGCTGATTTCTGTCCATGTAAATCTTCACGGGAAGATCATGCCTTGGTGGTGCAGTGGTTAAAGGTGCTGGATTCCCACATAACTGACCACCGTTCGGGTCCCAGACCTGGTGGGCTTGTTTTCTTGCTTTCCCTTTCTCTCTCTCTCTCTCTCTCTGGTCACAATAAAACAAAAATAATCATAACAAATGGAATTAAGTAAATAAATTCTTTTTTAAAAAAAAGAGTTACATTCAAATCATGCAATAATGGCTCATTGCTCATGCATTGTCTAGACTTCCTATGTAAATATGGATTGTTTGTCTTTTTTATCTTGGAGAGTTTTTTGGGGTTTTTTTGGTTTTTTGTTTGTTTGTTTGTTTTGTTTGTTTGTTTGTTTTTTGCTATAAGGTGTGTGTGCTCACCAGAAAGACAGAGAGAGACAGAGAGACGGAAAGCGAGAAATCACCCCCCAGGGGGATGGCCACGCCACAATCTCTCCCCCTCCATTCTCCTCTCGGGATCTTGGGTACACACTCACACACACCAGGCATGAGTTTAAGCCGCCAGGTCCGGGACTCGAACCACGGTTGACTACATGGGAGTCCAGCGACATAGCCATTATGCTAACTGCTGGTCCCAATATGGATTATTTGTCTTTGAAGGGACTGGTTTATGAGCAGAGAGTGTTTCTAACATTTCAAAAGATTCAGGCACACTGGGACGTAGAAAGGGAATTGAATCAACAGTGTAGCCCTCCTCTGGCCAATAAGCAAGAGAGTCTAACTGAATTATGACCTTGAGAGAGTCCTTGAATTTGCCTTAGTCGCTGGCTGCTCACCTGTCATCACGGGGTGGAACAAGATAACCATCTCAAACTCCTGTCCAGGTCCACTATCAGGTTCCATGTGTGTGTGTGTGTACACACGCTCATATACCGACACATTAGATCAAATGAAAGCCACTGCTGAATGCCCTCTGCTCTTGTTGTGAGTTAAGAATACAGTCTCTGTGGCTTCACCTCCACTGTCACTTCTCCAGTAGCCACTGTGAGGCTTAGGGACCTAGGCTACCCTCTTACAAGAGAGTGCTAACGAAAATAATCCCTTCTAGAAAATTGCTGATGTGTTAATAAGATACTCACATTGAAATGTCCACTTTAAAACAAAAACATTTGCATTTAGTATAAACTTAGAGTTATACATTATATATTTCATTTGTGACTTCCCTTAAGTCGATGTATTAACTTATGTTTTTTATAATATTTCGGAGGAAAGATAGCATCTATGAGTAATAATAATGATTTTAACTATATTGTTGTGGTTTTAGAAACAAAATTATGCATTCACTTTAGTAGAGTTAGAATGTGCACAAGTCTGGGGACCAGCAGATAGAATAATGATTACATCGCTGGACTCCCATGTAGTTGACTGTGGTTCAAGTCCTGGACCCAGAGGCTTAAAACTCATGCCAGGTATATGTGCATGCTCAAGATCATGAGAAGAGAATGGGGGAAAGAGATTGTGGCAGGGCCATCCCCCCTGGGGGGTGATTTCTCGTTTTCTGTCTTTCTGGTGAGCGCCTGTGCCCTATAGTAAAAATCTAAGAAAGAAAAAAAAAGAAAATCACACTGAGCCCATGTGCACACGTGCCCAAAATCCTACGAGGAGAAGAGATTGCAACACGGTCATACCACTGAGGGAAGAGGGGGGTGATTTCACTTTCCCGTTCTCTGTCTCTGTCTCTCTCCAGTGAGCACATACTCTCTATGGCAAAAACCTAAAAAATGAAAAAAAAAAAAAAAGTAAAAACCATTTTTAGCTGGAACTCACACAAAGAAACAAACTGCAGGCCACATTTAGCCTGTGCTCCCTGGTTTGTGAACACTGCCCAGAAGCACACCTGGTAAATTGTAAGAGCTTAGTAAAGGGTAATTTTGTGTTTTATATGAAAAGAAACATCTACTGTAGTATAAATAATGCACAAACTAGATTAAAAACCACCAACTATGCAAGCCAAAGAAAAACTCAGAATTTTAGAGATAACTTATTATTTCAGCCATTTGGCTCTTTGTTGAGAATGAAAATTCTCCATGGCTCTGAAGAGCAATCCATACCAGTCAGGCTCCCTTACACCCCAAAGACTGATGTCAACTGTCATGGCTAGGTCCTTCATCACAGTGCCCTTTTTCTTTTTTCTTTTTCTATTATTGTACCTTTTTAAAAATTTTATTATTATCTTAATTTGTTTTATACATTCAATCACTGTACATCACTATAGCTTGTAAAATGATTTTACCCAATATGAACACACTTTCCACCAGTCCAAATATCAAGGAAATATCATACACATTATCATCAATAGACAATCCTCTATTTCTGTGTCCCTTGAATGTCTTGCCTCTCTATTTTTCTCCTTGATTTCTTTCTTCTCCCTCTCCCCCATCTCCCACCCTCTTCCTACACTGTCTCCATACTTCTACATCCGTGAAGCTTTCCGTTTCCGCCATAGAGTGCAGCCACTAAGTATATAGTAAATGGAGACATACAGTGTTTCTCTTTCATAAACTTGGAGAGCTAAGTTAGAAGTGGGGAAGGAAGCTGTTGTTGCCTGACATTACTTTGGGTGTCACTGTTGATGGGTCTGACATATTCGGGATAGAAAGTCAAGAAGCACTGATTCAAAGTCAAGATTTTTCCAAGTTAAATTGCATTCTAATCACTTTTTGCCCTGGCACTTTGATCCTTAACTTGAAAATGTTGCATGTCTAAACTCACCAAGAAATGGTATAACATGGGGCTGGCAGGTGGCGTGGTGGTTAAGGCGCTGGAGTCCCACATGGCCAACCATGGTTTGAATCCTAGACCTGGTGGCTTTGCTTTCTCGCTTTCCCTTTTTTCTCTCTCTTTGAGTAAATAAAAAATAGTAATAATTAAATGGAATTCAATAAATAAATCATCTTTAATGGTATAATGTAGTCATAAGGAGCATAGATGCTGGAGTTAGCCAGAGTGCCAGCCCTAGGAACAGGTCTTGCTAGCTTTGTGACCTTGGACATGTCAATGAACCTTTCTGACCTACACATCCAACTCTGTAAAATGGGCATGATAGTAGGACCTATAGTCTTCATGTGTCATAAAAGCTAGTTGAATTAATACATGTAGAACATTTAGAAGATAAGCACTAAATATTATTAACAAGAAAGTCACAGATAGCATGAGTGGTATTTTGCAATAGTATGATTTGGAGGTTTTACAACATTCATGATTTTTTTAGAGAGAGATTTTTGCTATAGGGTGTATGCACTTGCTGGAGAGACAGAGACAGAGAAACAGAAAATGAGAAATCACCCCCCAGGGTAGATGGCCACACTGCAATCCTTTCTCCTCCATTCTCATCTTGGGATTTTGGGCACACAGGCACACGTGCCTGCATGAGTTTTAAGCTGGGTCTGGGACTCAAACCACAGTCAATCGTGTGGGAATCCTGTGACATAACCATTACACCATCTACTCAACATTCTTGATTTTTAAAGAACCCATTGTTTGCTTGCTTACCTTTCTAATGTGCTTTTGGAGAAAATTTAAAGCCATGGTATGTGCAGGTTGGGCTTGATAAAGTTGATCCTCTTTTTTCTACACCCCAAACCCAGGAGCCAGCCCACTTCGACCACTTCCGGGAGTGGCCCAATGGCTACGTGCGCTTCATCTACAGCAGTGACGAGAAGAAGGCGCAGCGCCACCTGAGTGGCTGGGCCATGCGCAACACCAACAACCACAACGGCCACATCCTCAAGAAGTCGTGTCTGGGCGTGGTGGTGTGTGTGAGGGCCTGCACCCTGCCGGACGGCTCCTGCCTGCAGCTGCGGCCGGCCATCTGCGACAAGGCGCGCCTAAAACAGCAGAGTGAGGGCACTGGGCCAGGAAGAGGGTGGTCTTGGAGTCAGGAGTTGCTTTTTTTTTTTTTTAAGAGAGAAAGATTTTTACTATAGGGTACGCACACTTTCCAGACACAGAAAGTGAGAAATCACCCCTGCAAGTGCGATAGCCATGTGCAATCCCTTCTCTATCTCCTCTTGGGATTTTGGGCATGCATGTACACGTGCCCAGCTTAAGTTTTAAGTTGTCAGGTCTGGGACTCGAACCGCAGTCGACTATGTGGGAGTCCAGCGATGTAACCGTTACTCCATCTGGTGGTCCCAGACTCATGCGTTCCTTATTCCCAGCCAATTTCCCCTTCTTCCTTCAGAAGGGCCTGGGGTCAGAATTGTAACTGTGATCTCTCCCTTCTGTGTTTTACAGAGAAAGTGTGCCCCAACTGTCATTCTGCTTTGGAACTGATTCCGTGTAGAGGGCACAGTGGATACCCAGTCACCAATTTCTGGCGGCTCGATGGCAATGCAATATTCTTCCAGGTAGGTGGGATGAGAACACCATTTGTGATGGATATTTTTATGAGACAGTAGAGACCTAACCATGTGCCATGTGTCTTGGGGACTCTGGAATAAGCGAAATACAATGCCTGAAGCCAGAAGCCAGTGTCAGAGTCCTCCCACCCCCATCCCTGGGATCTACCGTGAGCCTAGGAACCAGCTCATCCACTGTGTGCTCCGAGATCCAGAAGCAGTGAACCATGCTCTAGTTATGGTCCATGGGGCAGAGAAGAGGGTTGTGGGTAATCTTTAAGATGTTTATTATTGAGGCTGTTTTGCTTGTTCGAGAATTGTTTTCCCACAGCTTGAGAGCCTGGGAAAGGCCTGAACAATCTCCAGCTTCCTTCAGAGGAGCAAATACGAGATTCGCTTCTTCACTAACACAGGCCAAGGGAGTCCATGATCACCCCAGACCAGAGAGTAAAGCAGAGACGGAGGCGCGAAGAAGTGCTATCAAGAGACAGATGGCCTCTTTTTACCAACCCCAGAAAAAGAGAACTCAAGAAACGGAGGTAATGGAAGCTGACATTGCACTGTGGACCGTGTTCATTGTTAATTACGGGAAAAATGAATGTTGTATGTTCATTACAGAGGCTTGATTTGGTGTGAATGGATATTTGTGTATACACACACACACATATATACACACGTTTTTAGAGAGATTTTTTTGCTATAGGGTGTGTGCACTCTCCAGAGAGACAAAGAGTGAGCAATCACCCCTCCGGGGGGGTTGGCCATGCTGCAATCCCTTCTCCTCTTGGGATTTTTGGGCAAGCAAGCACACATGCCCAATGTGAGTTTTAAGCCACCAGGTCCAGGATTCAAACTGTGGCTGACGACATGGAAGTCCAGCGACGTAACCATTACACCATCTGCTGGTCCCTTCGACAAAATATTATTAAATCAACTTTTAGGTAGAGTTTCTAATCCCGTCTTCTTGAACAAACCGGTAAATAAAGACAGAAGCATCTTACAGACATGATACACACGGACACCCTGATACGGGACAATCATCCCACGGTCATAAAGGCACGTGTGCACACCAACCGCTAGTTCACAGCATGTCCTCGAGAGCGTCCTTTTAGTATTCACACAGAAGCAGGTACAATGTCTCTGGGCAACTTGATCCAGGGTTGTTGTTTTTTTTTTTAATTCTTTGGTTTGTTAAGAATTATTTAATTTAATTAATTAATTTATTTATTTTAAATTTGACCAGAGAGGGACAGTGTGTGAGAGAGAGAGACAGAGAGAGAGAAAGTGAGAAAGGCAGCCACCAGGTCTAGGACTCAAACTGTGGTCAGCCAGGTGGGAGTCCAGCGCCCTTAACCATCATGCCACCTGCTGGCCCCCAGTCTGGTTTTACAAATGAAGCGTGCCAATCAAGCAGTGTTGGTGTGAGAATAACGGAAGTGACGTTGTTCAAGCACTTCTTGTACAAGGCACTCATCCAAGACCTTCACACAGTTAATGGTCACAGGGACCCAATGAGGCGTTGCCATTATTTACTGAAGGATTTTTCTTATTTTTTTTTTTTTTGTCATAGGGTATATGTGCTCACCAGAGAGAGAGAGAGAGAGAGAGGGAGAGAGAAAGACAGTGAGAAGGAAAGTGAAAAATACTACCCCCGGGAAGGAGGGAGGCCATGCTGAAATCTCTTCTCCATTCTCCTCCTGGGATTTTGGGCGGGCACTCACACATGCCTGGTGTGAGTTTCAAGTCACAGGATCCAGGACTCGAATTGCTGTCAGCCATGTAGGAGTCCAGAGCCTTAACCACTGCACCACCTGTGGGCCCTGAGGATGTTCCACTATTAAGTTCCACATTTTTTTTTTTTTGAGAAGTTTTTGCCGTAGGGTGTGTGTGTTCACCAGAAAGACAGAGAGAGACAGAGAGACAGAAAGCGAGAAATCACCCCCTGGGGGATGGCCACACCGCAATCCCTTCTCCTCCACTCTCCTCTTGGGATCTTGGGCACGCACGCATATGTACCCTGTGGGTTCGGGACTCGAACCATGGTCAACTACATAGGAGTCCAGAGACATAGCCATTACGCCAATTGCTGGTCCTACTCCACTTTTTTTTTTAAGAGAGTTTTTTTTGTTATAGGGCACGTGTGCTCACCAGAGAGACAGAGAGACAGGAAGTAAGAAATCACCCATTGGGGAGATGGCCATGCCGTAATCCCCTCACCTCCATTCTCCTCTTGAGATTTTGGGCACACATGTACACATGTCCAGGATGAGTTTTAAGCAGCTGGGCTGGGACTCGAACTGTAGTCAACTACATGGGAGTCCAGTAGTGTTACCATTATGCTGTCTTCTGGTCCCTCAAGCTCCACTTTATAAGGAGCCATCCAAGGCTGACAGAAATTAAGTAACTTATCCCATTAGGAAGGGGCAGAGCCAGAATTTGAACCCAGGTCTGTAAAGCTGTTGACTTTCCACTCTTATGAACATAGTAAGGGTGAGGATAGGACCGTCTGCCACTCAGACCCACCGTGCCTGCCTCCTGGGGCCCTTCCTCCTTCAGAAGTGTGGTCATGCCTGGGCGAGCTCCAGCTTCCCCATCTCTACCATGTCCCATCATGCCCCTGAGCGGTGCAGCACAGAACTCGCCAGCAGGTGGTTTGTTTTTATCCACATGCTTGGCTGTTATTATAAGTGAGGGTGTCTACACGATTTCTGTCTCGTATGTCTGTGTTTGTATCGTTTTTAGGCAGGAGAGAATCAAGGCAGCGGTGGATATATCAACAACATCCCTCCGCTGGAAAGTCTGGAACCGTTTGATATCCTCACTGACATGGGCTTCTCAATCCCAGAACAGTCCTGCCCCTCCTTCCCAACCTCTGATGCTTACAAAGCGCCTGGTGACCTGGCCGCCTTTCAAGGGGATGTCATGCCGCCCTTTCAGAAATATCCAAACCCAAGAATCTATTTGCCGAGGCCTCCTTACAACTATGAGTTGGCAGACCCTGGTTATTCAAGTTCAAGTCCCTATCCCATCCTTTATAAAGATCCCAGCAGTATTCCTCCTGACACAGACCGGGCCCGTCTGAATGCCCGACAATATAATGTCAACTCCTACAGTGGCTATGAGCGAAGCCTTGATTTTACCAGTAAGCCACATGGCTGGAAACCAGCTCTTGGAAAAGCCAGCCTTGGGGAGAGGGCTGAGCATGGACAGTTCCAGGCTATGGCCACACACCCTTATTATAACCCAGAGCTTCCCTGCGGGTACCTTAGGGCTCCTGCACCATGCACCCCTGCCTTACAGACGGTGATCACCACCACCACCAAGGTGTCCTACCAGGCCTACCCGGCCCCTGCCCTGAAATATGGTGACAATGTGCACGAGGGTAAGAGCCTTTTGAGCTGTAACTATGCTTCTGACAGTGCCCTGATGTCCGCCTATCCAGAAACTTTGGACTCTCCAGCTTCTGTCACCAGGGCGGCCTCTCCAGTGGGACCACTTCCTCTGAAACTTCCAGGAGACTGCCAGGTCATCAGACCCTCTATGGTTTTTCCTCAAGAGTCGGCTCCTTCCAGGATGGATGGAGCAGAGACCTGGGCTATGTGTCCATCTGGGTGGGGCTCTGCAGTCAGCTACTCGGATCGAGCTGGGCTGTTCCTGAGCTATGACAGCGAGGATTTTTGAAAGACAGTCCAGGGTGCAACATTGTGTTGGCGTGCATGCCGGCGGGGAAGGAGCGATGACGACTGTCTCTTGTTGACTTGGTAGAATCATCGTGCGCAGTAGCGAAAGGAATAGAGCAGAGATGATGCTGAGGAGCTGAGAAAAGGATGAGCAGGCACATCGGAGACCACGTGGGCTAAATACTGGCCTACCTTCCCTTAGCTGTTAGCTAGAGGAGAAGGAAGGAAGAATCCGGGCTTTCCTTCTAAGTCTTTTCCTATTAGACCATTTTAGGGAATTTCATATGTTCCTTTTTGGCCCTTAGAGGCTGTTGAAATCCCTTCAGAAGTAATCCCTTTTTAGAGTGTATGTATTGATTTCTTCTAAGAAAGAGAGATGGCAGAACCAGCAGATGGCGTAACGGCTACATCACTGGACTCTCACATAGTTGACGGCGGTTCAAGACCCAGACCCTATGGCTTAAACTCATGCTGGGTGTGTGTGCATGTGTGCTCAAGATCCCGAGAGGAGAATGGAGGAGAAGGGGTTGCAGCGTGGCCATCCACCCCAGGGGGTGATTTCTCGCTTTCTGTCTCTCTGTCTTTCTGGTGAGCACATGTGCCCTATAGCAGAAACCTCTAAAAAAAAAAAAGAAAAAAAAAAAACCTGCAGTGGGGCCACGACAGTGAAGGAGGACACAGCAAAGGAGACAAGGCCAGGCTGAGAGCTGCCCCCTGCAGTCCAGGCTGATTTTTCTCACTTAGACTTTGCCAGGGTCGACAGATGCTGAAGAAACACACGCTGCTCACAAACCATTCTTCCCTCTTCGCGGACACTGCATGGTCTTGAAGCAGACTTGGAATGCAGGGACGTACCATTGCTCTTGGAATAAAATCTAAATTTGTTGTCTTGGACTTCAAGGCTTTGGGTGCTGCTTTCTGTTCCAACCCATTTTTAAAAATATATTTATCTTTATTTGTTATCATTATTTTTTAATTTGACGAGAGGAGGAGAACGAGAGAAAGCGAGAGAGCAAGCCGCCAGGTCCGAGACTCAAACTGTCGATGGCCATGTGGGAGTCCAGCACTTTAACCACCATGCCACCCGCCAGCCCCTCCTACCTATTTTATACCAATTTCCCTTTGCCCTAGACCTTCCAGGCCCACCTGTGCTCTGCAGCCCCAGTCTGCAATCTCTTCCACAGACTATTCACTCAGCTACACTTTTGCATCTTTGATTTTTATTTTTTCTTGCTAAGGCATGGGCGTTTGCTGATGAGAGACAGAGAGAGACAGAGCGAGAGAGAGAGAGAGACCTCCCCACGAGGGATAGTCACACCACAAACTGTTTTTCCTCCTGTCTCCCACCTTTGGGGATTTTGGATACACACACACTCATACGCATCCGGGGTGTTTCTCAAGCCACCCACCGGTCTGGGAGTCAAACCACGCAGCTGGTCACGTGGGACCTCGCCGCCTTAACTGCCAGGCCTCCATCTGGCCTGACTCCATGCCGTGAGGACAGAAGCTCTTGCCTGACCACATTACCCAGTCAGGTCCACTTCCCTTCCCTTGTTCTCTCTCTCAGCACGCTCTCCCCTTTGGGATTTTCTGGGGTGTAGCTACAGGGTGTGTTTCTACCTCCTCATTGTCTGCATAGCCCATCAGTCTATAATTCCAGCCGAGACTTCAGTTAGGTGGTTGGAAAAGTCATGATGCATTTTTGTGTGGAAAAAGTACATCAGACTTTTCTGACAACTCAATCTTTAAGTTTTTGCCTTACCACGTGCGTGCTTGCTGGAGAGAAAGAGAGACAGAGATAGTGAGAGGGAAAGGGAGAAAAAAAATATATGTATATATATAGAATGTCTGCACGCTATAACCGAAACTGAAATATGGCATAGTATAAAGGCGTGGAGAGCAACCGTGGATACCAGGGAGTGTGGGAGGAGAATGGGAAATGGCAGAGAGTAAGAGGGAGGGAACCAAGGGAAAAAAAAGAAAGAAGCAAAACATTTAAGAAACACCAAGTGGGGAGCCGGCAGGTGACATGGTGGCTAAAGGCACTGGACTCCCACTTGTGCAACTGCAGTTCAAGTCCCAGACCTGGTGGCTTGCTTTCTTACTTTCCCTCTCTATCTCTCTCTGATCAAACTGGAAAATAAAAATACTAATAAAGAAAGGTAAATTAAAAAAAAATATTTAAAAAAACAAAATGGGGAATTATTTGTTGAAGATAATATGTATGGTAATATCTTCGATTGAGCTAATGTACAGTGTATCCTAGATGGGAAAATTCATTTTGTATGCTATAATGATATACAGTCAATGAATGTAATTAAATAATAATAAATAAATAAATAGAAAACTTGAGTACACATACTTGTGTGCCTGGTTTGTTTTTCAAGCCACTGGGCCAGGATTCCAACCACAGAGGGCCATGTAAGAGCCAGGTCGCAATGCGCAGGGCTTAACCACTGCACTGTGGGCTGGGCTCCATCAGAGACACTTTCTAAAGCATATTTTTAGATAAACACATTTTTTTTTTTAGAAAATAGAGTACATATAAGTTTTAAGTTTTACTTATTCTACTTCTCAACTATCAATATTTTATTGTTGATCTTAAATACTAAGAAATTCAGAGATGGTCAATTGGAAATTCTGAGAAGCCCAGGCAGTGACATCTTCTTTGAGAATGTTCTCTTCCTAGAAATTCAGAAGCTTAAAGGTGAAATATACAGTCTTGGAACCAGCAGTTAGCGTAATGGCTATGTCGCTGGACTCCCATGTAGTCGACCGTGGTTCGCGTCCCGGACCCGGTGGTTTAAAACTCACACCGGGCGTGTGTACGTGCGTGCCCAAGATCCCGAGAGGAGAATGGAGGAGAAGGGATTGCGGCGTGACCATCCCCCCTGGGGGGGTGATTTCTCGCTTTCTGTCTCTATGTCTCTCTCTGTCTGTCTGTCTGGTGAGCGCACACGCCCTATAGTGAAAAACCTCTCCAATAAAAAAAAAAAAGAAAAAAGGTGAAATATACAGTGTTAAAGAAGCATGAAGCTGCTAGGTCAGCCACTGTCTTGATAATAATCATGTCCTGAAGGATAGTTTGCTAATCTTTGATAAGAAATATGCTGGTAGTTTTAAAATATACACCCTACTAAACACTCAGCCCTGTAATGAGAATTGAAACTATCTCTACTAAGATTTAACACCAAAAAATTGACTATTTAAGGGTAAAACAATTTATGAAAACTACAAAGATGAAGGTATAGGGGGAATCCCAAGAATAACGATTATATTAAACCACTGTAAATCTTGAAGCTATATGGAGAATCGGACTATATGTTTTGCCATTTAGCTATCACGTATCGGCTTGGCAAGTTGTAAAAATACCAATAGAATTATCTGAGGTTTAAACATGCACTTTAAAAATTTTATTATTTTTTTTTAAATTTGCTAGAGGGTACGTGTACTCACCAGAGAGAGACACACAGACAGAGAAAGAGCATCCGTTTAACAGTCCTTCTCCATCCTGGAGTCCCATGACCCTGTGGCAGCCATTTTTAAATCTTTCAAGCATTTCCTGAGGTACGAAAACCGAGACCCCCTATAGTACCAGCACTCCCATGTTACAGCACAGTTCGTTTTGTTTCATAAGTTGATTCCTTGCCTTCTTAGTTCCTAGCTTTCTCAGGCTGTAGTTACGTTTTACAGAAACCAAATGAACTTAAGTGTTTGAAAGACTCTTCTCCAGAAACCAGATGGAGCTAACGTCTTGGCCCAGCTGAGACAATTTGGTAAATATATATTTAATGCCCTATAGCAAACACACACACAAAAAACTACACTTACCAAAGATATCAACCTTTTGAAAATGTGAAGCTTCTATTTACCTCTGTGCTGAAAAAAAACTGTAGGGAGTTCCTGAGGTTTGTTTATTTTTCAACACAACAGCTAGATGTCCCACTATGACCAAATTCAAAAACATGCATTTTAAGAACTCATGGGACCAGCAGGTAGCATGGTGGTTAAAGAACTGGACTCCCACATGACTGACCACGTTCAAGTCCTGGACCTGGTGACTTGCTCTCTCTCTCTCTCTCTCTCTCTCTCTGTGTGTGTGTGTGTGTGTGTGTGTGTGTGGTGAGTGCATGTGCCCTGTAGCAAATTTAAAAATAATAATAATGATAAATAAAATTAAATAAATCATTCCTTAAATTTTTTTTTAAAAAAAGAAAAAGCAAAACATTGGAGAAAAATGAAATTTTCTTAATCGTTTGTCTTTCTGATGTCCCTGTAGTATTTTTAAATTTTTATTTCAGAGCTCTTGAACTTCACGTGGGGCAGGAACCTGGTGATAGATCATATTACAGTAAACTCTTCTAAGTCAGTGAATAAAACACATAAACAAAGTTGCTGGACCTAGAAACTTGGTGATAAAGATCAGTTCCACAAAGGCATTTTGACAGAAGCAAACATACTTGAGGTGTTATAATTTATTACTTCCTTCTAAGCAGGATAACCTCAAGACTTATCTGTAAAAGGAATGAACTGAACTGAACAGTCTGTTTAAGCATGACACTGAGAAATAGCTAGTACTGACAGACAGCCCAGGTCTCCGATTCCCACCCTGCCCTGTGGCCCTTCAAGACTGTAACGGTCAAGCATGGGAGTGTTTTGTGCCTCAAGTGTCAATCACGTGTTTTAGGTTCACTGTTTTTATTTTATTTTACATTTTTGCCGTAAGGTGTGTACACTCCCTGGAGAGAGACAGAGGAAGAGAAAGTGAGAAATCACCACCTCCCCAGGGAGAATGGCCACATGGCACCCCCTTCTCCTCCATTCTTGGCCCAGGATTATGGGCACACAAGCACACACACCCAATGTGCTTTCAAGCACTAGGTCTGGGGCTCGAATGAACTTCTGTTGGCCATGTGAGACTTTAGCATCTTAAACCACAAGGCTACCTGATGGCCCCATAGGTTCACTATCTTTCCATCAACCTAAAACCTTCAATACCTCCGCGAGGTAGATGCAGAGGATCCCAGCACTGCGATGCCACTTAACCAACATGCTGTTGCGTGTCATTGAACAGAACCGGGATTCTTGCTCTTGTGAAACACGACAAGCTGTGAACACTGGTTAAGAACCTCCATATCCAAATCTCCGATTTCTGCTGTTGAATATGAAG